CTACATCAAAATAGGGCACTGATAGGAAAAGAATAGGGCCAGGAGAAGTGGGAGGAGGACGCTTGGGAAAAATAAGCCCTGAAGTCTTGACGCCTGTGGCCCAAGCTCCTATCTGCTAAAAGAGAACAGCTTCTTACTTGGACAAGGTGCAAGAACCTCTAACTTACAAGACGATGTTTGTATTTCCTTCACCTCACCTTGTTTTCCTTCAGATGTTAATTATAGGCAGGTCTCATCCTCTCCCAAGTAGGGAATTGCTCCTCATCCCAACAAACAAACAAACAAACAAGCAAAAGTGGCTTGTATACCAAAAGAATTCAAAAGCTAACAGGAGCTAGAGGAATAGACACACAAAGGATCTCTTGATGGTGTTGGGCTGAGTGGCTGGAGTGAGTGTCTACAAGGAGGAAATTTTACCAAGGGTGTGATCCACAAACTGAGGTTCAGCTCTGTGTAGGAGCCAATCCTTGCTCTGTCAGGGATGTCCCCTGAAGTGCGGGTGTAATGGTGGATGCTTGCAATCCCCATGGAGATGCTGGTGCTGTCCTTGCATGGGACTGAGAGAATGGTTGAGAGGCTCAGGCGCGTAGATTTATCAGGCAAAGCAGTTGATTCTTCACTCACCCTCCCTGAGAAGGCCCGGAAGATACTTCCTTCACAAAGCAACATGGAATGCACTGGGGGTGGGGTGCAGATGGCAAGGTAGAGATGTTGACATTTTGGGGGGGCTTTGTGGTGAGTTTTTGAGGGCTAGAAGCTCTGATGGAACTGGGGATCCTACTATGGTGGCATGATATGACTCTGGAGTGACATGGGAAGGAGAAGACAGGTACACTTATGTTGGTGAGGCCTGAGTGGCTGGCAGTGGCTAGTGAACATCCAGCAACATGGATAGCTGGTCAGGCAGTTATGTGACATATGGTAATCAAGTACCACAACCCCCCACAAATCTCCAGGTCTGAGCTGGCTCACGGATCCAGAGCCCAATAATGGAAGGGGAGACTAGAGGCATTCAGATCCCCACCCTGTGTAACTTTCCCAGAACTGATGATATGCACTGGTCTCAGTTCATAAACTTAATTCGTTCTGTGGACAAGATGGCCAGGTTTGCATTTGTATGGGAAACATGGCCAGTCACATTTGCCATCCAGTTCAGAGCTTGCAAACACAAACAAAACTTTTGCCAAACACTTCTGTTTGCAAACCAAATTATTTGCAAACCAAAGCATTCATCTCCTGAGGTAGCATTGTGATAGGGAGGTCTTGTGTAAACTAGAAGCTTCTGAAGAGTAATTCAGGAGTTCACGCCCTCACTGAAGTCATAGGAGAGGGCCAGGGATGCGGCTCAGGAGCAGAGAGCTTGCCTAGCACACACAAACCCTCGGTTCAGTCCCAGCACTACAAAAATAAACAAAATGTATGCATAAAAGCAAAGACCTAAAAATACATAGGAGCTGGTCCCCTTTATCTCTCATTCAGACGTAAGAGCTAGAGGACTCATAGCAGGTGACAATGAACTAATGCAAGTGCCAATCAAATGGCAGCCCCATCAAGCCTGTGTTTACTGCATGCATGAACACAGCCTCTGGCAGTAGGGGTGCATGTCTTTCATCTGCTGAGTGAGTCTTTTATTCACTCTTCACCAGTGAGGATGATCAAAATCAGAGCTGGGTTGACTCCATCTCTCTGACACAGCATAGGTGAAGGGACCTTGAGTATCTGGGCACTCCACAGGACACCTCCTGCTGGGCTGCCACTCTAGTGGTATTCTGCTAATTGGACCTGCCAAGTAGGAAATGGCAAGCAATCTGCACGCTCTAGCAAGACACACATGTGCTAGATAGTGCCAGATAAATAAATATTCAGGACACGGTCACATGTTATGGGCCATGGCTTGGGCTTTGCCAGAACATTTACTGTACAATGATGGTTGAAATATAACCAAAAAAGAGGAGAGTCTCATCTGGTGAGCCAGTTGGTGAGTTGCTTTGCATTTGAAGGCAATATGCATTTCTCTTGGAATTTCATGGCACTCCATTTACTGGGTGTCTTTGAGGGCTGCCAGGAAGGGCTAAGCAGAAGAGAAAGCTCAGCTTCAGTGTCCCTGTCATTTGGGGATTGGGACTCAGAAGAGCTGATGCTGTTGGAAATACCAGGGTGAGAAAGGGTGCTGCTCAGAGCTCCAGCAGGAGTCCCAGCACACGCGGAGCAAGGTCAGCCTTCTCCTTGTTCTCACTTGGTATTATTTCTCTTCTTTACGGAGCCCACCAGACTGGCCAGTGCTCCCCCAACCTGCTGAGTTGTCTTGTGGGTGAAGTCACAGACAGACCATAAACTTGGTTCCTGGTCCATAGGGCAAGCCCAAGTCCCTCTGGAGCCCCAGGACACTTGGCATTTCAGACACAGCTCTGAAAGCCAGAGAACCACTTGGTAGCTACCACTGACCAAGTAGTGTATGACACTGGAGACTGCAGTACAAGGGACTTCCATATTACCCTTACTGACAGAATGCCCTCATGTCCTTGGAATCTGGGACAGGTGGGCAGCAAAGCTCAATCTTCCTGGGAAGTACAAGGACAACTTCCTGAATTACTGATCAAATGTGATTTCTCAGACCCAAGTCCTCCAGATCATGGCTGGTTCTTCTGGTTTGATCCCTGAGTATGTGCTTCAGGGAAAGCGCACACCACGCTGGCCAGGGAAGGTAAACAATGACCCAGTAATACTAGAAGGTAGAGAGCTCGTCTCAGTCTGCTCAGAGAGACAGGGTGGTGGGAGCCGGTGAGTGATGGGCCCAGAGATGAGACCACAGCCTCACTCTCACAGTAAGCCTGACTTAAGTTTTAATTTTTGTGTTGTTATTATTATTATTTAACTTTTGATATGTTACAGATGCCAGATTAGCTACAGTGAGCATGCCAGTTAACCTCATACCAGTTAACTGGATTAAAAGATTCCTGGACAGGTGACAGGATCATGGTGCAGCATACTAATTGATGGATTAATACACTAATGTTCACAGCTGCACAGGCTATTAGGGGGTGGGACCTAGTTAGAACAGATGGCTCTGGGGGTGTGGCTCTGGGGCAGTCATGTCTCACTCATGCGGCCCCATTCTGCTTCCCAGCTTTCCTGCAAGCAGCTTTGCTCTGTAATACCCTTCTGCAGTGTTTCGCTCTTGGAGCTGGAAGACCATGGACTGAAACCTCCAAAACCATGAGCCAGAATAAACCTCTCCTGTAAGTTGCAGGTGTGAGGTAGTTTGTCCCAAAGATGGAAAAGAGGACCAAAGGCCTTACATGTATGCCAGGCTGGACTGTGATACACCAAGTTTTTTAGGATTTGTAACCCTAGCTGCTTGTGGTACCATCCCAGCTACTTAAGAAGCTGAAGCAGGAGGACTGTAGCCTGAGCAATTTGTTGAAACTTTGTCTCAAAAAAGGGATAGGGAGTTATGGAGGATGTGGCTAAGTGTCAGAGCACTTGATTAGCATGCACGAGGCCCTGGGTTTCAACCTTGGTGTCACACACACACACACACACACACACACACACACACACAGAATTTGCAGCCCATCTTGATGCTCTGCCCACGTTGCCTCCCCCCAGCACTTAGAAACTGTCCCAGCTCTGGTGGGTGATGTCTCTGGAGGGTTCCTGCCCAGTCTGTGGACTTCAGGCAGGCAGGAGAGGGACATGGATAAATCACACCTGCAATGAACCAAGCCCCATGTAGGAGACACTGGTCCAGTGGCCAAGGCAGTGCTGGCCCCACTTTCCCCTCCTGCGCCCCGCCCCACGAGGGCAGAGAGCACCCAACCTGCTATCCAGAATCACCCCATGCCACTTGGCCTGGCCAAAAGCAGCCCATCCACACCCCAGCCAGGCTGGGGGAGAGAGCTGCTCCTTTAATGTTTGGCTGGAGACCGAAGCTGAATGTGCTGACAAAGTTTCGTAATAACGCAGAGGGAAAATCCATATTGCAAATCACCTTACTCAGTGTGGCTTTGTAAGAACTATTTATTCCCTGAGCGCTGCAGCCTCTTCATCAGGTTCGTTGTCTCCAGAGCTGCCTGAGCCAGCCTGTGGAGGAACAAGAAATTTTTCACTCTCCTCGCCAAAAAAGCAGGGCAAGTAGGATGGGTAGGCTAGTATTCCATCACTGATTTGGGGGTGGCTGGAGCCTGAACACTCCCCGTGGCTGGTGGCAGAAGGCAGCACAGGGGAGAGGCGGGGCTTTGTCCCCGGGTGGCGGAAGTTGCCAAGGCAGAGCAGGAAGGGTTTCTGCCTGCAGGGGCCACAGTCAGTAAAGCAGGAGAGTGCAAGTGCGCGTCCCTGGAAATCCAGGAGACAGGTGGTAAAGACCCGTCCCTGAGAACTGGGGGCATACGGAACTTGCCAGCCTCCCCGTCCAGCACTGCCCATCCCTGGGTCTCGCGGATCCCTAAGGTCAGCAGTGCTGTTTCCAGATTGCAGCTTGAGAGCCAAAGTACAGAGGGTTCCAACGTTTGCTCTGGATCTCATCGCTGGAAACTGGCAGGTCCGATCCAGCTCTGACCGGGTCTCCTCCCCTGCCCTTCTCCGTGTTGCTCTTGGGGAAGAAGGAGGAAGATTATTCTCACCTGCCTTGCAGTGTAAAAGCCAGGGGGATAAAGCTGGCCCTGGGCAGACAGCGTCCCCAAGACGCAGTGCAGAGCCTTCCCTGCCAAGGGGTGTGGACTGCGCAGAGAACCCCTGCACACATCGGTTTGCACATTGGCCCTGTGGCTGCACTTCTGCTGCTTGGAGAGGGGACAGAAGAAGGGGGGGGGCAGTGTCACTGGGGCTGCAGGGCAAGGTGACTAATGACAAATCTGAAGTCCATAACTTACTGGTTTTTTTTTTTTTTTTTTTTTTTTCCTAGCTCTAGGGATCAGAGACCAGGGCGAATTTGACTGTCTAATATTCTTTTTTTTTTTTTTTTTTTTTTTTTTTTTGTCTTTTTCCTTTTTATCGGTACCAGGGATTGAACTCACGACTGCCTGCTTGCAAGGCAGGTGCTTACGCCGCTGAGCTAAACCCCCAGCCCCCTGTCTAATATTCTTAATTTGCAGCCAGTCATTTAAATCACACATCCAAAATGGAGCATTTCCTTTAGTCTCCAAGCACAAAAGAAAAGAGTTGTCATTAAATCTTCCGTTATGTCTCTGGGAGAAAAGGTTCTGTCCTTTTAGAGGAACAGTCCTCATATGGCACCTCTGCAAAGGATTCCCAAGACACCAGGCAAAGCAACCAGAGATAAAGAGGAGCGAGGCGGCTCTTCTCTGGGCTGAGCATCCACCCTACAGGATCACAGAGGCAGCTGGGGGACCGTGAAGCTGCTTAGACATTGCTGAGGTTGGCGGGGAGATGGGCCTAAGCATCATGGGACAGGGAAGGGCCAAGAATTGACAGGCACATAATACAGACATTCAGTTCATAAATATTTTTAAAAGTTCTCAACAGGGGATGTGTTTTGAATTTTCATAGCAGCGTTATTCATAATAGCCCCAAAGTACAGACAACTCAAATATGCATCAACTGATGTATACCCAAAATGTGGTATATCCATACATTGGAAGATTACTCAGCCTTAAACATGAATTGAGTACTGGTATGCTACTGTGTGGATGAGTCTCAAGAATATTATTGAAAAGAAAGCTGCCAGACACAAAAGAACTTGCTTCACTGTGTGGCTCCATCCATATGAAATGTCCAAAGAGGTCAATCTGGAGAGATTGGAAGCTCAGTGGTGAGTAGAGCCTTGGATTGGGGAGGTGTGGGACGAGGGGAGGTGATGGCTGAGAGGTGTGAGGTTGCGTCTTGGGGGTAACGGACATGTCCTAAATTAGACTGTGCTGGTGGTTGCAAAACTGTGAATTTGCTAAGCACCCTTGACTAACATTGGTTGACTAACCTTGGCTGAAGCCAGGTGAGCTGTAAGCATCTGATTTGCATTTCAGTGAAACTATTTTTTAAGTAAGAAGAAGAAAGAAGGAAAGAAAGAAAGAAAGAAAGAAAGAAAGAAAGAAAGAAAGAAAGAAAGAGAGAGGTATTTGAGATGGTCCTTGAAGTTTGGGCTGCAGATCCACGGCGGCCAGTTGGCTCTTCCCTTAGAACCAACTTTGGGGAGAACTGGGAGGAGTAACCCCAGCGGTCAGGTGGCTCCCACCTAGGGGAGCAGGACTTCAGTGTGCTGTAGCTGGGACACAGTGACAGTACTCAAGCTTTGGATGGCACAAGGCTTTTTTTTTTTTAGTTTGCACAAATTTATTAAAATTAACATGTTTAATCTTCTCTTCAATGACCATCCACCTGATTGCCTGCAATAAAGATACAGTTTTAGTCCAGTTTTCAGACTTCAACTTATAAACAGGAAACACAAGGCTTCTTTTGAAGGAGCTGACAGTCTCCCTTTTCTCCTCTGCACCACGCAGCTGCTGGCACCGTCTTCCTCAGACATGGGTCCCAGCAGTGGGCCCTCCCCAGCCCTCGCCCTCTACTGTAGCCTGCGGGATCCTGTTAGCTAGGGTGGCACTGAATGGCCCCTTTCTCAAAAGCAGGGGGCATTTTTGTCAGGTGCTATATTTATGCTAATCCTGGGCCTAGAAAGTCTTCTCTGGCTAAAACAGTAATCAGATCTGAGATCGTAACCAGAAGTATGGTGACCCCGATTTGCAGTGGTTGCCTGGTCACACTTTCTATGTTCACCCTACACACTGTCTGGTGCCTCTATTATGGCTCCATTTTGTTACTTAGTGTTTGCTCGAATTCCCTGGACTGAAACATGGGCCTCCTCATGGCGGGCGTAGATGCTTTACATCCTCGGGGTATTTATCAGGTGTTACTTTGGTCACGAGCTGCAAACTTGTTATTGTGAGGTACACACATTTAATAGGGGCCTGACTTTAAGAAGTTTTTAGTCCATGCTATCAATGTGGATGGTAGGAAATTTTATCCAAAATATAGCAAGAATTCTTCCAAATCAATAAGAAAAGAATAAAAACCCCTCCAGAAAATAAAGGCAATTTTAGGTATGACTGGAGAGAGTGATTATTGTCACCACTTTTCTGGGGGACAGGTTGACAAAACACGTTAAAAATACAACACACTTATTCCACAACTCCACACTCGAGAGTCACGCAAGGAAGCAATCAGAGATGTACACAAAGATCAAAGTCAGTGATGTTATGTCCCGGCCTGCGGGTAAGTCCATGGAGACCCTAGAGGGGAGTGGGGATGAGAGCGGACAAGAGATGTAAAGAACAGAGTCAAGACGAAGTAGTCTGATCAAGTCTCATTTATTCAAGGAAGGAGTATCAAATATATAGGGTATTGAGGAAGAGGGAGTTGGGTTCTGGGATGTCAGCAGGTAACTTAGCAACAGCAGCAAGGCTAAGGGTCATGGTTCAATTCAAATTTCCCACACTCGGGCTCCTAAAGCAGGCTGATTAACATAATCCCTGAATAGGCCAGGCCACACAAGCTAGGCAAGGTGCTGCTTAACTACTAAACTTAACTCCTAGAGGGAGTTAAGGTGGTGTGGCCTGCAGATATAAGGTGGCAGCCAATTACAGGGCTCCCCACAATGTTAGAAACAGTGATTCATAATATTGAGAAGTGGAAATGGAATGGAATATTTAACAGAATTAAAGATCGTGTTTTCAAAAAGTATTAATGGCACAGAAAAACCCAGGCTAAAGTACAGAAAGAGCAGAATATACATAAACAATTCCCACTTCAGTTCCAAGATATCTAAGAGAGGTCTTTTAGGTTACTTTTGTTTTATTTCTTAAAAATTTTAGTTAGGATTACATTTTTATTTTAAAAACTCTGGGAATATAACACTTCAGTAGAATATATGCTTAATAAGCACAAAGTCCTGGGTTTGGTGGCTAGTGCTGAAAAAAAAAGCTAAGTAAAGTTAGAAAGATCTAACTTTTTGAAAGAAGTATACTAAGTCTAAAAGACAGTTAAGGCCGATATGCAGAGGGCAGGCTGGTTATCAGGCAGTGGACACCTGTATTCTGTACTACATCCCAGTGGTAGCCATGGCCAGTTGATACGTTGGAGGACTGCCAGAATGGTCAGTAAATACACTTAATGCCATCCACACAGATAGCTATCTCAAAAACAGCAGCAAGTTTCTTGAAGCCTGGACAAAGTGGTTTTAAAAATGACATTCGATGAATAGAACTGGAGCCTATTGACAAAGAAAAGGAAACAGGCTAACATACTCTAAAGGCTTTTAAAATTACTGTGCCTCAGAGCTAAAATGGATCTGAAACATCAGCAATGTCACCACTGGAGAGAATAAGGCCTGAAAGTATTTACTCACTTACCCAAAGTTCACGGGTGGTATTAGAGTAAATTGCACCCGAATTCCTACGTAGCCAGAAGTCCTAACTTCCGGTGCTGAAGAACCTTCCATGGAGATGGTCACTGTAGATGTAGCCTGTGAGGATGAGCGCATTAGAACGGGCTCTCATCCCAGTACCCAGTGTCCTCCTAAGAAAGGAAGCTGGGCACCAGTTGGCACAGAAGAGCGTGCTGTGTGGACACAGAGGCATAGCTGGGGTGAGGCGTTTAGAAGCCAAAGAGGGCAACGCACTAAGAGCCCACGGCACTAGGAGAGACAGCCTCTGCCGTGACACCTTGCTTGTGGACTTGTGGGCTCTAGACGCACAACAGAACATTTCTGTTGGTTGAGACTCCTGGCCGGTGGCTTCCTCTGACTGCCCTGGCCAGGGGTGTGGGTGGGAAGCAGAAGCAGAAGTAATGGGTGCTGACTCTCTGCTCTGCGCCTGTCTAGGCACTGGAGAACCCTGCAGGTGCTCAGAAGGCTTTCTGGGTCCATGGACTCTGGACTCTGTCTGCCGGAAGAATTGTGAGTCTCATGACCAGGACAGAACCTTCTCTCCACTCCCAGCCAAGGTCAGCCAGGAGCGTGGGTTGGAACTGGAGGCGATTTGACCCCTAGATGACACGTGTGGGTAGCAATGGGCCTTAAATCCTCTTGGCTAAGCATGAGGCCTGCAGGGTGGCAGAACCCGGGGCCACACACTACAGGTTTACAGGACCCGAGTCCCCATGAGTGTACAATTTGCTGCAGAACTGACATGGCAGGTCGGTAGCAGCACCTCATCCCAGGCACTTGGCTTCCTTCTCGCTGTCCTCCTCTGGGCCCAATTGTGTGGGGCAGAATGCTGGGTCCTGGACTTTCAATTCACATCAGATGATGCACTGAGTCCTGTTACTACTTAGGTAAACCAAAGCGATGTGGGGGATTGTGCCAGCCCTGACAAAGTGGGTCTTGGTGAACCAAGACACCAGCCTGGGAGGACAGGCAGTGACCATCCAGCCATCCACGGGGAACTCGGCTCCTGTGAAACAAGCCGAGGAGGACAAGCCAGAAGCCAAGGCACTGACCGAACACGGAGACCTGAGGCTTTCCTCCCTGGCCATCCGTCAAACTGTGTTCTGTGTTATAACCACCTTTCAACTAACAAACTGGGAGGTCAGAGCAGTCTACGAGGTTTGTGTCTAAAAGTTATGTTGGAATGCTAACTTTTTAGGATAAAACTAAAACAAACCAAACTGTAGGACTTAATTCTGTTTTGTTTAGTGGTACTGGGGATTGGAACTTGGTGCCTCACACTTGCCAGACAAGTTTCCTACCACTGAGCTACAGCCCCAGCCCCATTCCTCTAATTTGAAGACAGGGAGGGAGCTGAAGGCTGTGGAAAGCCAGAACTCATTGATTTCCAGGTTCTGCATTGTCCCCAACTTGACCCTGTCTCACCCAGCCTGCCTCCTGCTGCAGGGAGGATTCATCCTTGAGAGGCTTTGGAACATGCATCCCAGTCCATAACCCAAGGCTAAATCACTCTAAGCCGCCTCAGGGACCCAGGCAGGACTCAGGCCCCAGGACCTTTGGAAATGCAGTGTTTCTACAGAGCAGCTTTGGAAGCAAAATGACTGTTCTGGAAGCCACTGCCCCCAGCTGTATGAGGCAAAAAAAAAAAAAAAAAGCTCTCAAATTCTAGCTCATAATACATTTTGTACATAGTTTGTGGTTTTATAGTCCCTTTACTCTTTCTTCCCCTCTGCACTCCTACAAAGATTTGGGCATCAGCTGTGCCAACACACAGTTGCACTTCTAAGCAACAAACTTGTAAAACCAGGCTTTGGAGCCTGGCCATTACCTCTTTGTAACATCTCCAAGAGCAGAGGGTGACATGATAGATTGAAACAGGTCCAAGTAACCATTACTATGTTTTGTGTCAAAGAGCTGCTTTATTAAAGTCGTACAACTGTAAATCAGGGCAGCTGAAAGTTGTGCTTTCCTTGCCGTCTCCGTATCCAGGTCCACATAATCCAGTCTAGAACTGCATCCCTCTGCCCAGCATCCTGTGGGCTGTTAAGCCATGGTCTGGGCTGTCCCAGGCTGGGGGACAGTGCCACACAGGGAGGGGCTGTGACGGTACAGAGACTGAGGCCAGTGTGCTCCAGCACCCTGTAACACGGACACCAAGACCATGCCAAGGGCATCTGCTAGCTTCACCCAGCCCCTGCCCCGGCTCTCAGCGCCTGGCACTAACAGCAAAAGGGTTTTGAATTTTGTTTTTTGTTTATCAAAGTCTCAATTTCAAAGGAAGATGCTGGATTGCCAGGCTCTCTTCTGAGAGGCCAAGGCAGGAGGTCCAGCTTCTCTGCCCCTCATGCTGGTTGTGAGAACCAAGTGAAGAGGGGACCTCAAGAAATGATCCAGCAGAACGTCCAGCCACATGGATCCTTGACCTGGGCCATTAACATCTGAGTTTCTACTAGAGGTGGGATTTGGTGGCTGCTTCTTGATAACAGGAAGTACACAGGCACTCTTCCTGGTCCCCAGGGCATATGCCAGGAAGGTTACCTTCTAGCTGGCAACGTCAGCCCTGGGCGTGTGTGGCCATCCTAGTTTGGGAAATTCCTTCTGAGGCTCAGGCCGGTAGAATGAGCAACAGCTGAGAGATGCAAACTGCTGTCCTTAGGGCTCCTGTGACACACACCCAGCCCCACATTCCTCCCTTCGCGTGTAGAGCGAAGTGTGGGTGATAATGGTTTAATCAAACCAAACTGGTAGACATGACGCTGTGCAGACACAAACAGAAAGAGGGACCTCTCTGTCTTCTCTGCTCTTTCTGCACTCCCTAAAGAAAATAAAACACACGTGTGGGAAATGTAAGCTAGACTTCCAAGTATTTTGCATTCAAATTAAGGATGCAAATCCAATGCTTTTTGGGTGTGGTATTGAAAAATGTATACTGTTCTGAAGATAAGATGTTTATCATTCATTTTATCCTTCATTCTCCCAGGAAAATCAAATCATTTTCTGTTGCAAAGTGTCCTGGGACTGCACCAGAGAAGAAAAGCACTTAAAACAATAGGTGGTCTGCGGGATTCGCCTATAATTAAATATTCCAGGAGGCAGGAATTACCTTGCAAAACGAAACTTCTGGTTTAATTGTATCCATCTTCTGCCTTTTTTCTGTTTTATAACCTTCCTTTGGTTTCTTTTTTCTTCTCTTCCTGTCTTTTTCTTTTAGGCTTCATTTGAAAGCAATTTCTTTCAGAATCCTTACAAAACACGAACACTTGCAAATATGTGACTGCTTCTGAAGTGTTCTCCAAGTCTGGCTCCAGGGAGCCCCAGGCAGTTCCTAGTCCCCAGGCAGATAAGGACTGAGACCAGGCAGGACCAGGTCTGCCATCTTGAAGTGCCAGCACCTGCCCTTGGGTGCCACACAGGTCAAAGAGTCAACCTGAGTGCTTCAAGTGGGTGTGGCTTACTGTGTGTTAATTATATAATTGTTCTTTAATATCATCGACAAAGAGGAAGAAGGGAACCAGGAAAGAGGACAAAGGAGTCCCTGCTCCATTACAGTTGGCTGAGCAGACTGGAGGGACATGGACAGTCTCACACATGGACCCCTCAATATGACTTTCTCCTGATGCCCCTTAGAGGGACAAATTGCATAGCCCAGAAGAGCTGAAGGGATAAAGAACGTAAGTTTTGGAGGCAGACTGGATTTGATTTCCAGCTCATTCACTTACTGGTAAACAAATTCATTCTCTCGCTGTCTTCTCTTCACTGACACAGCCATGGAGCATAGGAGCCCAGGCGACAGCTCTGTCCTGGCTCTGCAGAAGAAAGGATGGACAAGTCCCTGGATTGGATGCCCAGGGCTCCCAGATTTCTTAGGAATGGGGGGGGGGGGTGCTGTACACGCAGAGGAAGCATCAGAACTTCATGTGGATAGTTACAGAAAATCTACCTTCGTTTGGGGCTGGGATCCAGGGGACCTCTCCCTTCCTGCCTGAGGTGATTATCACCCTCAGTCCCCAGCTGAGGCAGAGGAGGGGTAAAGAGGCCAGGAAATTTTACCAGGTTGTGTGGCTGGTGACTATGGACTTAGACCTGCTGAAGTAGGCAAACAGGAAGTCCCAAGCCCAGACAGTGGCCCTGGAATTTCCCTGCAGACCTTGGGAACCTGGGTCTTTGAGCCCCATGGACAAGGGAGAGGCACGCATTCAGTGAGCCCCACATTCAAAGGTCCACGGTGGAACCATGAGATGACCTGTGGGCACCCATTAACCTTCTTGTCTTTCTTACCTATAAAGCTGGGAGAACGGTTGCTGCCGTGGGGCTACTACAAACATGGAGAGTCAGTCTCCAGGACAGCGCCTGTCTGAGAGACACGTTAGCTAATTTCATCACATGAACGTTCCCGAGCACACTCATGCAACCCAGATGGCGTGGGTGTGTGTGTCACGTCCTCATCACTGAGACACACACCCAATACCCACAACTGGAAGGAGGAGAGCTGCATTTTGCCTCCTGGCTGCAGAGGGTTCAGTTCATAGTCATCTCACTCCCAGGCACAAATGGCATGGTAAATGGGCATGGTGGGTGAAAGCTGCTCAGCCCATGGCAGCCAGGAATCAAAGAGTCAGACCCAGAGTGAGAGATACACTCTCCAGAGGCACCACCCAATGACCACCTCCTCCAGTGGGGTGGCACCTTTCATCAGTACAGTTAGTTATGCACTCATCAATGGACTTGCCTACTGGTAAGTGTAGCGCTCCATAATCCAGTCACCTCCCCAAAGCCTCACTTCTGACACATGAGACTTTTAGGGGCTTTGTTCTACATGGTAACCAAGACAGGGTGCATCACTAACAGTGGCCTTTCTGTACTACCAGGAGCAGAAGCAAACACAAGACGTGTGAGGCTCCAGTAGTCTGCAGTAAGCTTTGTCTAAGTAGCAGGCGGGAGCTCTAAACAGTGGTAAAACATAATAGACCAGTAATAGTCATTTCTGTTCATCAAGTCCATTATCAGCTGTGAACAAATGTTGTAGTGTGTGCTATTTATGCTTCTGTGCCACTAGCAGCAGAGCAGGGGGCCTCACGTGAACACCACTACCAACACAAGACAAACGTGCTGCCCTGTAAAGGTGGCTCCATCACCAGTGACGGAAGCTTCTTCATTGCCTTGTCATCTTCTGAGTGATGGGTTCGCTGCTGCCTGAAATGTGGCACTTGGAACTGTGGCCCTACAGTGTCCTACTCTCCTGGTACCTTCATTGCATTAGCAGATAAATGTCATTACACCTATTTTAGAGATGAGAAAGTTAAGAAGTTAAACAATTTAACTCCAAGCTCATCTCAAGCCCTGTGCTCTTCCTCTTTGTCTCCTTTTTGGTTAAATTTCACCACCTCCTGTAAACCCTTCACCACCCAGACCCCGGGAGGGGATCCCGGCTCTTAATCCTTCAATTCCTGCCCTCCTGGCTCATCCAGCCATTCTGGAGTGAGAAAAACCATCTGATTGGGAGCAGAGCGAGCCTTGGGTCCTTTGTCCAGTCCCTAACATCATTAACTCTGCTGGAATGGGTTCCATTGGTCCAGTGTGCCCTCACTCACCCACTGAGGTTCCCGACTAGCTCGGAGAGATGAACTGGGACTGGAACGCTTCTCCGAGTGGCCCACGGCTGCCCCTGTGTGGAAGAGGTTGTTAGCCTTGTTTGTGCAGGACGTGTCCGGGGCACTGCATCATCTGCAAATGGCCCGTGGCATGGAGATCACTGAAGCAGAGGTTTGGGGCTGTGCAGCAGGCAGGCACAGGGCACGTTTCCACTCACGTATCTCAGGCTTCGTATTCTGTGAAGAACACAGCGCTAAACTGCACCAACGGGCCCAGCCTGCTTCAGGAGGATTAAAACCCCATCAGTCCAGCATGCCTCGCCTGTGTCCACGTGGGAACGCAAGCGGACAGGAGAGCGGCCCCCGCTGTACACTGCCTTGACCTTCTGCCCGACTGCTCCACCCGCCTTGGCGAGCATTTCTGCCTCCACAGTCAAGGCCCAGCTGCGGCTCGAGGCCACTGGATTGATCATGCTAAACATGAGCTTCGCTGATGTTTTAGAATTTCTAGGGCGCCCTAATTCCCTGTATCTGTTTTTCACAACTCTTCTATTTTTCCCTCTGTTGTTTATAAGAACAATTGCTGG